CAAAAAAAGCAAATTAACAAACAGATAATTCTGTAGGTTTTCCAATATTAGCAAGATTATAAATATTAACTGTTTTATCTGATGAAGTAGATAATAAAAGAGTTGGTTGATGTGGAGAGAATTGAAGAGAATTTACTGAATTAGATTTATGAGAAGATTTATGTTGATGAATAACAAATAAAGGAGAAGACATATTTCTTTGATCCCATAATTTCACTAAACCTTTTTCATGACCAGTTGCTAATAAATTAGGTGTTAAAGGAGAAAAACAACAAGTATTCATAACTGAACCACCATTATAATAAGTTTTATTTAAAGATTTATCATCAATAAAAACAATTTGATTTGATTCAGTAACACAAATAACTTGAGAATTTAAATAATTCCAATCAATATCATTAACTGAAATTTCATTTTCAATTTTAATATTTTTAATTTGTTTTAATTCATTTAAATCCCAAAAATAACAATTTCCTTTATTAGAACAAGTAACTATTTTATTCCGTTCAAACATATTTATACTTATTCCATATCCATCTGTTTCTTGATTTCCAACTATTGATATTGAATTATTTTCAATATCAATTAATTGAATAAATGCTTTTTCTGAATTTGTTAAAAGAAAACTTTGTTGTATAATTATAAATGAAGTTGATGGAATAAATCTAATTCTATTACAATCTCCTCCAAATTGAATCATTTTTTCTAATTTCATTTTTGAAAGAGATGATTCAATTTCATAATATCCTATCATTCCATTTGAATAATCTGTTTGTCTTATTAAACATTCTTCTTTTGGTAATATTACTTTTCCAACTCCAATTCCTGTCCCATTTGGTGTTCCAAAAACAAATTCTTGTTCAATACAATTATTGTTTATTGTTTTCTGTCTTGTCCAATCAAATGACATTGTTGGATGTGGTGTATAAAAATCAATAAAAACATCATAATAATATGGTGCATTCATTTGCCATATTTTTTGTTGAAAATACTTTTTTTCTGCTTTTCTATTCATCTGTTTTTAATTCTTTTTTTTTTCTTTTTAATTTTTATTTTTTTAAGTTTTTTAAGTTTTTTATTTTTAATTTTTTTAAGTTTTATAAATAAAAAATTAAAATAATTAAAATAATAATGAAACAATTAGCAAATAAAATTAAATTTTAAGATCTAGAACTTAAAATATATACTAACAATTATGAGTTGTCCTACATTATGTGAAGACCCACACTATCCAGCGTTATCAGCTAAATCATTATCAAAGAAATATATTGAAATATTAAAAAATACAGTAGTAGGAGGAGCAACTGCATCAATAGAAGTATTAATAACGTCACATTCACCAGAAGTAACACAAAAATTTTTAAACAAATGGATTGGAATAAAGAGTTGTTTATTAACATCAACTCCAATGGTAGCTTCAATTCAATATGAAGGGAAATCTGAATTACAAATAAGAATATCATCATTAATAGGATATGAAAATGTACTTCCAATGAGAGAAATGCATTTTGCATCAAAAAAAGCATTTTTAGTAGTAATATCATCGAATGAAGTAGAGAGTATAAGTACATTAAATGAAGTTCAAGAAATATGTGGAAAAATATATGGACAAGAAAGTCAAGAAGCTAAAAATATTATTGCTATTTTAGGAGAAGATAATCATGGAGAATGTCAATCTATTAGAATGCATTGTAAAGAACGTGGAATTCATGTGGCTGGTGAAATTAATGAATTATGTAATATTCTTGTTGATGTTTATAAACAAAAAAATGTTCAAACTGATGCTAATGTTAATGATAATATGGAAATTCTTGTTCTTGGAGATTCTACTGTTGGTAAAACAACATTAGTTTCAAGAATTATGAATGAAGAATTGTCATATTATATGCAAACAAGAAATTTTAGTACTCGTTCAAAAATTACTCAAGTTGGTAAAATGTTTAATTTAAAAATTATTGATTCACCTGGAAATATTAAAGAATTAGCTGGTTTTGATTCTGAAAGAGGAAATACACCAATTATAACTGCAACTGTTGAAAAAACACTTTCGTTATTAAAAACAAAAAATCTTCTTGATATTAGTGTTGTTTATATTGTTTTTGATATTTCTAATATTGATAGTTATAATTACGCTTTAGAATTATTAAAAAAATTTAGTGCTGTTTCTTCTAAAACTAAAATTGTTGTTTTTGGTAATAAACAAGATGTTGCTATTGAATTTGGTGTTGAATTTTCTACATCTGAAATTGAACAAAAAGCTGATATGTTTTATATTACTTCTTTTACTACTATCTCAGACGCTGAATTACAAAAAATTGTTTCAAAAACTATTAAATTCGCTCGTCCAACTGAATGTCTTCCTAAAGTACTTCCATTCCCTGGACATATTGAAACTAAAGGTATTGTTCAATTCGGAGAGAAAAAAACTCATAAATTGTTTTTAAAAATAAAAAATGGTGTTTTACATTATGCTGATTCAGAAAAAGAATTGGATAAAAAAGGAAAATGTTTATCTTTAAAAGGTATTAGCATTGATGAAGTTCCTGTAGAACAACCAAAAAAAGGAAAAGAAATTAAAGAAGCTATTTTAGATATCACTTTTGGTGATGATAAATATCAACTTAAAACTAAAACTGTAGATGAAAGAACAGAATGGAAAAATGCTTTACTTAATTCAAAAATTATGTGCGATATTCTTGATGGATCAAAAAGACAAATTTTAGAAGAATTAGTCGTTGTTACTGCTTCTTCTATGACAAGTCAAATGCAACGACAAGCTGAGGAGGTTACTCACATGAAAGATAAAACTTATGACTTCAATAAGAATCCAAATACTACTGGAATGGTTTATACTCCTCACACTGATGAACCAATGGATAGTAAGGGTAAAAAAGATAAGAAAGATAAAAAGAAGAAATAAGTCATTCATTCTCTTTTTTTTTCTTAGTATTTCGGTTTTTTATAATGATATTTACTTTATCTCATATTTCAATACCAAGATATTTATAATGATTGTCAATAGTTACTCTTGGTAGTTCAGCTAATTCACCATTTATTTGACTATTAATATTAGTCATTATCCCACTCTTTTCTACATTAATTTTTAATCCTATTGCATTAAATATTTCTTTAGTTAATTTGTGGGCTTTTTCCATTTCATCGAGGCTATTAGTCATTATCTTTAAATCTTCCATATACAATATGTGGTTTAACTTAACTTGTTTTTCTTCTCCATTCATTTTAATATTTAATTTGTTAATTTGTTTATCTAATTGTTTAGATAGTATGTCAATAGATAATACAAATAAAAGTGGAGATATACTATCACCTTGTATTATTCCTCTTTCTACATTAATTATACCCACACTTTCTTGATTATAATACAAATTAAGATATGTATTATTTAATATATATAATATACTATTAATTACTACAAGTGGGATATTAAAATATATTAAGCATTGTTTAATCCATTGATGGTTAATACTATCATATGCTTTGGAGACGTCATAAAATGTTTCTACCAACTTCCATTTAGTCTTTATTAATAATTGTTGGATTATAATGTTGTATAATAATCATTCTTTTGATGCATATGTATTTCTTACATCCAATTTGATTTAATGAGAGTTGTTTTTCAATTGGATTTAGCATCAATTTGCTTTCTATTTTCATTTTTAATATTGATGTATACACTTTTAACAGACAATTT